AGAATGAAACAGTTGTTTCAGAAGTATCAAGGAGTGAACACGTAAATGCGATCGTTATTAAGAGTGAATGAGAGAGAAGAAATTTCTGACAAGAATGTATCGATTTATTATTTCAAATAGTTTATTATTTAAATATTTCAACTTAAATATACTTTGCAAGTTAGTCGTTAAAAAGGTTTTAGATATTATTGTTCATTCTACCCTCAGTTACTACTTCCATAAAGTCTGTGTGATTTATTAGCAGTCAAGAAAACATGGGATCTGCAAGGCTTTATATATTTTTCCTTTATTAACCCTTTGCACTTGAGGGTGAGCTTCCGTCACCATTTCATAAAATTTGGAAGATCGATATTAATTAATATATCAAATTTAATGTAATGCAACAGTGTGCATGAGCATTGAGTATTGAAATCAAATAATTCTACAATTCTATTATTATACAATTCTTTATTTACTGCTCAAAAAGGTATCGTCAGTTTTTTAGTAGAGAATCTTTGAATTTCTACTCTTCTCTAGCCAAAAATTCGTCGAGTGCAAAGGGTTAATTATATCATTTGTATGATTTTCATCAAATTTGATAAAATATTGAATAAAAATAAATCAAATTTAATACAGGGAGGACTATCGTTCTATTATTCGACAATTATTAGCGGGATACATTTGTCTTCCTATTATTTCCGATAATCGAGCTTCTATTGCAGTCATATTTAGTATACCACAAATCATGTATCTGTTAAATTTTCTTGTAATTTCACCTACACATTTTCCAAACCTCGTAGTATACTATAGATGCGGTATTATTTTGCAAATATTCAAATTCAACGTACGTACTTGACGTATTAAAAATTTTTAACGCAAAACTTCAAATACTTTTCTACGGATATCTTAATACTTCTTTTTAAGTTGCTATAGTTCACTAATAGAAAGTATTTCAATAATTTTATAATTTTATAACTTGCTATTCAACTTTGCTGTATTTTCTGTCACCTTAAATATAAATAAAATTGAAACGTGATAATTTTGGAGCGATTAATTCCATGAATAATTATTATTGTACGCTTATAAATAAAATGTCGTGTGAAACGTTACGTGGAGGATGGTACTTCTATAAATAATTGTGTAGAGAATCGAAAATGTTGGTACACCGTGAAAATACCTAGGCATGCCTTTGAAAATTGTAAACTCACCGATAGCGATAACAACTTGGCTCTTCGGTGATGTATAAGAGGGTCTTTTTATTCTTTTTGTCCCTTGGTTGAAAATGCGTGATATCCGATTCGTTTTAGTTAGTATAGCGCTATAGCAAATGCTTAAGCATAAGCCGAGACCAATTCTCAGATATGTGCAATTCCACGTAGTTGGCTTGCTCAGTATTACGAAACTCATGCCATAACACGATAGAATTCCTATCAGCAATACGTAACACAACTCACGCCCCGATGCCATGATTACTGGAGTTCGGTTGAAGCTGAAATACAATATGTTAACCGATTAATCAATTAACAAAACAATAAATTATGAGTATTAAATTAATTAGATTAAATTAACTAGTATGGAAAATGAAATTGCGTTTTAAACAAATTAATTCCGATTAATCTAAAGCGAAGACAAGCTAATTAAGAACTGTGATCTATTTCAAAATTTATGACGCAGACCTGAACATTTACTATTTTTAAAAATTCTTATTTTAGTTACTTCTCACGTGTTATAAATTATTTTATTTTATTTTTGAATTCTTAAATGTATATACCATTAAATCGGTGGAGACTTCTTAATTTAAAAAATTTATTGTTAAATTGGATTTGACCGATTTTTTCAAGATTAAATTTTTATCCTCGCATCGTATTCTACTTAACAAGAGGAACAAACTCGCAATATGGACCATCAGTTAAAATATCTTTTAGAAAAAATTATTAAATAAAAATTAATTTTTATTTAAATGGAAGTCAGTTATCGTCAGATTTTATAAGAATTTTTCAAAAACTGAAATTAGAAGAAAATATTAATTTTTAAATATTTTGGTTACGAATAATTATTATAAATTATTAAAATACTAGTTTAGCTACAAAAACCACTATTGATGACAGAAATTTAATTTTGATTTGCGTAACTCAACGCGATTGATTGGTTATAGATAACTGTCATTGAAAGTGACAAATTTATTTGGTTACTGATGACTGATATTGACAGCAATAGTTGTCAATAGTCCGAATTCGACTCTAATGGTCCCGACAGAAATTTTGTTACACCCTGTATATCGAAGCAAGAATTTCGAAAACGAATGTCTTTAAATTTTTGAAATTTTTAGAATTATAAATCGCAACTTAAAGGCTACGATAATTTGTAGTATGGCAATGTGAACTTACCGAATAAAGACTAAGGTTGTAAACAGAGTACTGAGTATGCCAATAGTGGCAAATATCAATGGTACCAATGCCCAAGGGCTAGTCCATGGAATAACTTCTGCTGTAAGTTTGATGCATCTTGTCATTGTTTCATCCGGAGCATATCCCAGGCTACAGTTACGACAAGTGTCATTAAAAACGTAGGCGTCTTCTCGGCATGCCATACAACTCCAACAACAGGCTTCCTGAAAACGATACGTTATAAAATATTACATTCGCATGAATTACTTGTAGGAGGCGTGGTTCGGGGAACCGAAGGGATTCGAGTTGAAATAAAATAAAATTAATAAAAGGTGTCAAAAAGTTTATTCGTCACTCGTCAATCTCTTACTCAGAAGTGCGTAATTGCGAATTCCTAAATGCGAATTGACAGTATAGTGAATTTTGTCAAGAGTCCTCAATAGCAAATTGCGAATGCCATAAATTGAGGATTTTCGAAGGACATTTATCGTAAACAGAAAAAATAAATCATCTTTTATTCCCTACCACCTTTCACTATGGTAATATTAGCAATAATCGAAAAATAAACAAATCAATGAAAATAAAATGAAGCTCTTATATCTACGCTATAGCAAAACGCTGAACGTATATATATAAATGCTAGTATGAGTCAGACGAGACCCAGCCACCGGCCATTATGGTCCGTCATCCGAGGAGTGAAGAGTAATCCTGAGAATAATTCTATATTGCCTTTGATCTGCTTCATTAGTAATTTGCCAGTTCTGCAGAGTGCAATAACTCGATTAATGCAAATCTAGCAGAAATTTATTTCAAATAACAACAAAAATAATTATTTTATATAACGTATACTATTACTTTATAAATAATATATTTTACCGAATATTATGTTTATTATTTACTTAATTATTCCAATTTACAAACAGTAGATCAGAGAATTGATTGTTTGTAGAAATAATATTAATATTGAATAATAAATGTAGGAATAATTATTGTAATTGTATAATAATATTAGTATGAAGAAATAATAATATTTTACGTTGCACATCAGGAAACCAGTTATTCTCATAATAATCAAATATTAAATAAGTATAGCAAATAAAGAAGAATATATTTTTTCAAGTGATAAACATTTTATTCAACCGTAAATACCTTGTATTGTATATAACTTTGTACCTGTATATATACAGGCATCTTTTTCTTCACAAAGTAATATATAAAATTTTTCAAAAACTGACAATTTCATATCTTCTCGTGTTATTTACCTGAAAATTGCGTACATGACCTAGGGGACAATTATCGCTGCATAAACTTCGAGGGATATGTGATTCTCCAGCTCCTTTTGCCCACTTTGTTATATTAATATCAAGGCTCAACCTGAGAACAAAAATTCATAAATTGAGACACAATTATATCCAATTATATTATTTATTTAACGGCACATCAGCTTATAAACTCATTAACTACTACATTTGCTACTACATTAAGAGCATTGAAATAAAAGTAATAAATTGTATATTTATTTTTTAGAACAACGATGAGTAATATTTGTTCTGTCCTATGTAAACGCTGAAAACTTAAGACTTCATGCAGCCACAAGACCGCATATTTCAACGCAATATTAAGTATAATAACAATTTGATTAATCGGTTTAATGGATGGACAAATAGTCCTGAAAAATCGAGACCAAATGGATTAAGAAAGTAACTCAAATCGAATTTTTGTATCAAATTTTATTCCTAATTTTTATTCCTAAATGATCTAGGTGAAATCAGCCTTCAAAGGAAGGGGTTGAAATCATATTTCCTGAAATATCTCGATATATATATATATGCTAATATTTATTTGATATACATATATCCTAACCAAACGATTTAGAATGCAATTTTTTCTTGCAAAATATAGCACTTTATATTTCGAATATATCAATGTAGAAATAATTATGAAAAATTAATTTGTTTAAATAATATATTAAAAATTCGATTCATTTTATCGTTGTTAGATATATCAATAGAAGAATTTAGTTGAAAGGATGATATTTATTACTTTTAGCGTTTCAAAGCAATTTTGTCAATTTGATTCAATTTCCAATAATAACATTTTTATTGTATGTAATAATTTCATTAAGTTTCGCAGAAATTTGTAGCCAATTGTTACATTTTTATTTCGGTGTATATAAATTATTTTTTTATTTATTTACATTTTTATTTCGGTTATAAAAATGTGAGAAAGGAATTTTGGAATATATAAAACATTTGAGGCAATTAAAGATTGCAAGACTGAAAAATCTTTGAAACAAACGAGAATCGATATTTCTTTGTTAAAGAAAAATTTATTTTTGGCTGTATTTGAATTTCAGACCTAGCGAGAATATCATGCTTATAATGTTTCACTTACTCTTCTTTCCATGTGCCAATAAGGACATAGTCAAAACGGTGTTCTTCTTTCCTTTGGTATTGATATATGTTATAAAATCCATACGCATCACCATCGGATTTAAATTTAATCTCAGTACCTTGGCGACCTGCGTGTTATTTAAATAAATAACAATATTAATAGAATAGTTCAAAAAGAGAATAGTAACGTTAATTTGATGACATTCAGTGGCGATTTAAGTAACTAATTGTTTAGCTTGCGAAGTTACAGACATTGGTGTTCTCCATATAACATAATTAGGTCTGAAATTGTGTTATGGGAATTCTTGTTACATATGTATACAAAATAAACACATAGTAAAAGAACTGAGGTAAGGTATAAAAATTAACAAAAATGTAATATTTTCTTTTTATATCTAAAAGAAATATATATATATATATTAACTTCATATATTCATGTAAAGAAAAATTATAAAGTTTGATATTTGATGGTGGTGATACTAATTGTAGTATTAAAGAGAGTAAAAATACATAATGACAATAGTAAACAAAATTCTTGAAAATAAGTACCAGTCGAGGAACTGTCCTGTGAAGTAAATTTCAAAGAAAATATTTAAAACAGTAGAGAATTATTGGCAACAAAATTGAAAAATAATACGGAGTGCAAAGGTTTAATAGTAACACTTACCGATAAAGCTAACGTTTCGAATATGCTGAAGAAGTTGCTGACCACCCGGTGCTGGACGAAGATTTTCGCACAATTGATGATAACTTTCGCCATTATTCACGCATTCTTCGTCTATCAAATTGTGAACACCATGTGCCATCGCATAAACTGCATCAACTAAAATCAATTGAACATAACAATATAATATATAACTCCAGCTTCTGTTCTAAGCGTCATACAGTATTTAATTATTATAGTATCTATAAAATAATGGCGAGTACTATGATATACCGAGATAAGCATGTGTTTTCAATTGTTTCATATTATAAAATTATAATTGAGCCGTTCACTGCACAAATCGATCAACTCCACTTTTTGAAAAATCTTAAATTTAAGTGTCAAAGCACTTGGTATAGTCACAACTTTTTATATTTATAATAACTTTCCCTGATAATTAAGATTAACACCATTAAACGACAAAAATTTTTTGGCCACTGAATAATAAATAATTTATTTCAGAGGTCACTTTGATTAACTCCGTACTCTAATGTAAATCGTTGCAATAATGCAACTCAAATGCACTAGCAAGCCATGAATGATAACGGTGAATTTTTTAGTGCCGTCTTATCAGAATTTAAGTAAAATTTAGTAAAATTTAAATTTATTACTTTTTCACTTGCCGAATCGATTAACTCTTCCAGTAACATAAAAATGGTAACATTACTAACGATTACCTTTCGGCTATTTTTTCTTATAAATTTTATATACCATTAGATGAAAGTTGCATTTGTATTTATGCATTCTACGATATTTATTTCGCTTTAAATTATAAAGGGAATTTTAAAAAACAATATACATTATTTCATTGCATTTCTCCACTTTTTGTTTTATGGAGTTAATCAATTTGTGCAGTGAACGGCTCAATTGTTAATGTGTTACATCGCGTTTCATAGTAATATATTATATCAAATTCTAAAATTTGTATCAATGAGAAGGTTTATTATATCGAGCAAGATGGAGAAATAATTGTTTTTAACTCTCTTCTTTCACCACTTTCTACATTTTCAATTATTTTGTATTTTGTTCGTATACTTAAGACTATACATTTTCATTTAGCTGCAATTATGGCACGGCATATTATTAACCCTTTGCACTTGAGAGGCGCCCTTCAGTCGCCATTTGATAAAATTTCGAAGATCGATATTAATTAATATGTCAAATGTAAGATAATGTAACGATATGAAAGGTATCAAAATCAAATAATTCTACGTGTTAATTATTATACGATTTCTTATTTACTACTCAGAAAAATATCGTCATTTGTATAGCAGAAAATTTTTGAACCCCTATTCTTTTTTAGTCAAAAAATCATCGAGTGCAAAGGGTTAACTTCGTACTAAACTTTTATAATTAAGATCATGTAAACTGTATTTAAATTTTGTTATGAAATGCTATTTTAATAATAGAATGTTTGAATATCGGAATATTCAAATATTGATTATATAAGATTAGAATAATGGGGATTCGGATATGAGAAGCTCTACTATATTCGAGTAAAATTCTATGTTGGTAAGAAATTGTACTTGTAATTTAGCATATAGAAAAGGGTAAAAATTATCGTTGTTGATTACATTATTTATGTATATATTAAGTATATGTATCATTGAGTACAAATATGTGTTAAGTATATTTAAATATAAATAATATTGTGCTTTAAGTATATAAAATATATTATACAGTAATTTATACTTGTATTTACACTTATTTGTACTACACTTACACTTATAAAATATATTTAAAGTATTTATAAAATATATAAACTTCATTTTTTAAATAATGTACTCTTAATATTTATTATATTTACATTTGAATATACTTAAATACAAAGTACGAATATAATATATATTATATTATCAAGAGTACATTATTTAAAAAATGAAATTTAATTTCTGGGTTCCTCTCAAAACTTGGTTGAAGAATTTTCTAGGAATATGCAATAGAAACAGATCTTACCGACAAATGGCACCAATCCTTCTTGCTCATAATTAATTAATTCCTCTGTACCAGTGCACGGTGTCATACCAGCCGTCAAATTGGCATTGAAGCTGCATTTGTGATGTTGGGACCAAAATTCTCGAAACCAAATATTTCGGCAGTTCACTACTTTTCCAGGCAACTTTTTGTGCGGCACGTTATTTTCAGTTTGATCCTCGCATTCGTCAGCCACCCTTGGTCGAAGATTTGAGTAATAGTTATCGAAATCTAAAAAATAATATTTGTTTTAATATTGAACATAAGCTTTGTTAATCTGACTTCTTCATCTTTATTTGGGTCGAATTAAAAATTATATAAAAATAAGTACAGCATCATATAGATATAATTATAACTTAATTATAATTTAATATGAGGCAATCGCGTGAAAATTACTTCATTGCAATTTTTTATTAATTTAAAACATTTTTTTTTGTTGAAATTTTTGCGACCACTGGTTATGCACCTATCATGGTGTGCGGTGCGATAGTCTCCATTTTCTAATACCCATTGAAACAACTTCATCATAGAAAGATCGTAAACATGGTGTAGTTTGTTTATTAGAAAAAGGAAAAAAAGATTTATTTATAAATCTATTAAATTTAATTTCCCAAATTATTTGTAATGTATAACTTAATTGAACTAAATAAAATTATAAATTCTTTGTGTACGCCATTTCTTCTTTCGTTTCTTTATCATTTTGAAATATTTCTATCTTTATATAAAAGACAAAATTTTTCTGATATGGGTCAATTTATTACTCTTTCGAACGATACAAATGGATTAAAGAGGTCTCCTAGTATTTAGGGTTAAAAAATTGATTTTCTTTTCTTTTATTTTTTTTAAGTTGATATTTTCAAAAATACTTTCTTTCAAAAATAAATTTATATATATTTATATATACGTATTATGCTTAAGGTTAAGTTGTTTCAGGCTATGGAATAACTTTTTGGGAATGAGTCCTGTCGTTGAAATAATTAATGACATAGGTACATTACTGTCACTATTATTATTATTATTATCGTATCAAATATTTTGGTTCATCAACAATCATTTTTCAATCAACGAATTGCGCTTTCATTCCTAGCTCGAGTTTCGTTGCTTCTTTCCTTTCTTCTCGAAATATTTGTAAATGTACATTACATTTCAGCCAGCCCTCGTTACTTCTTAATCAGGATAGTATTCCTGTGTTTATAATTGTCTCACTAGCTGACTTACAACGTGGAAGGACAGACTAAAATGATTTACTATTTCACTAATAACCACCGGCTTTTTTCAGCAACAGATTTGTATTAGCGAACATAAAACTGATGTAAGTAATTTGGTATAGCAGTAAACGCGGCTTAACTGACAGTGAGTATTAGGGAAACAGTTATACACAGCCGCGTGTACTGTGGTGAAACAGACGTAGCAGGTTTTGCTACATAACCTCAAAATTTAAGTCGTACAATTACTCTATTTCGAGGGCCAGAGAATCATACAGAGAGGACCATCTAAACAGCTTAACCTTTTGACTGCCACGCCGAAATCACATGCTTCCCTCAGGACGCTTCAGGAGTGCACCGCTATATGCAAGATTTGTTCTAATATGTTTTTGATGTTCTAATAAAAATTTTTAATCGTTCAATGGGGCACTTTTTATTTCAAAGTATCTTCTAATTAGCGGTTATATTCAAAATGCACTAACTGTCAATTTTCATTCAATGTAGTTCAATGTAGTTCAAGTCGTTCAAGCGCTCAGATCACCAATGACCACCGTGGCGCCACAGGAGCAAGCATGGCCGGTCATATATGACCAACATGGCAATCAAAGTGTTAAAGTATGTCATTAACACGCTCCTTTCTATCTTTTAATACCAACTATGACTTTCGAGCGTTTTTTAAATCTCGTATAATACTTCATTTTCATGGCAGTTAAAAGGATTTTCACGACAAAAGTAAAACTTGTTAAGAATATAGTGAACCGATGTAGATGAGATGCTCACAAAAGGAATCAAACGCTCCCAAACGCTCGCGGATTATTCCGCGCTCGGTTATAGACGGCAGTCGTGGCTCGCGGAATATTCCGCGCTCGGTGATAGACGACAGTCGTAGCTCGCGGAATATTCCGCGCTCGGTGATAGGCGACAGTCGTGGCTCGCGGAATATTCCGCGCGTGGATGCAAATGAGTTAAGAAATAGAGTTGAGATTAAATCAAATTCAGTCCCTAGTCTGCAGTAAATTTAGAAGCCGAAGTACTCTCTAGCGTAATAGAGACTATGTGACTCTACAATATGTTTCTGTATCGAGTATGCATTGAATTTGGTGTTCCCTCTAAATTTCACCCGTTGCATATGTGCATTCCATTCTATGTGTGGAGGAGCTTTCACCAAGGGTGAAAGGGTGTCGGAATGGAAAAACGGTAAGATTAAACAACTGTCGGCACGAAGAACAAGCCGCGCATGTGAATGTTGGGTTACGATCGGGTGTGAAAGACGAATGAATTCTTAGAGTGTGTGCGTTGCATTGTGGGGTTGCATGGTATGAATGTGTAGCGTGTGTGTCAGTGAATAAAAGGCGAGTGACAATGAAAAAGGGACAGATTCGATCAAGAATCAGAAAGAGGAACAAGAGAGTGTCGGTCAGTTGCATAACCATAGATTAGTTATCAGTTTGAATATTTTAATTGTACTTTAGTATTATTTAATTCTTATTAAATATTCTTAAAATAAATATACTTATATTAAATATAGTTGATTTGTTGCTTTGGTTGATTCTTTCCTTTCGACATTTCTTCCTTTCTTTTTCTAACATTTTTGGAGATTGATTTAGAGATAAAATAATTCATTTTTGATTTTTACTCTCTATTTCTAAACGTTACTTAATCAACTCCATTTCTCCTTTGTTTAAGACATGTACATAAATATTTGAGACTCAATAGATATTTTTGGCAATTATATAATATAGCAGATGTCTTGAATTGGATTTGCATTAATAATATGTTATAAATCATTGTCATTGATGTTTATAAAATTAATTAAATAACTTAATAAAAATATTTAAAAAATTAATATTCTTATTAAATTATTTAAAATTAAATTTTTCAGTGGAATATTATTTTCATAATTTGTTTTTAAATGTTCCCTACAATTCTGAATTTTTTAAGCCACATGTGTATGATTCAATAGCTTTACAACAGAAATATTAGAATAATTTTTAAACAAGAAACGATAAACTAATGGAAAATATCAGTATGGGGCTAATTTAAAAATCCAAACATCTTAACAGTAAATATATATATATATAGGTATAACAATATATTGGAATATATAATAGTTCTTATACTTTCGTTCTAACAAGTACAAAGATTGTTGTAAGATTAATTAAAAAGCATACAGGAGTACACCGTAAAAGTGGTATTGAGTAATCAAATTACCTTGAAGAGATGTTCTGTAAGGTAAAATCGTGATTGCACCCTCTGCTGCGAATTCTTGGTCTCTCACTGGATACATTTTAGCACCCCACGAGTCGCTCCCTATCCACAAAAAGTGGCCAGTACGGTTGGCTCTAACGGTTGCTTGCAGAAGTTTTCTGAAAATAATAAATTGATTGCTTCTAGAATGAAAAACAGCAATGTTAGAGTACTAGATTCAATATAAATCATAACTGAGTTAGTGATCATAAATTCGAGTTAGTGAATCTAAATAACATGTTTTTAAGGTTTACAAGGGGCCATATTCAAGTGAGACATATCAATTTTGATGAAACTTATGTGAGAAACAGTTCTCAAAAAAATATTTTAGCAAGAATATTATGAAGCAAAAATCACTCTCAAGCAGTGTATTCCTTAGTTAGTACCTCTTTCGTAGGTTTACGCTTTTCGTTGAACAATACAATAAGTCTTATTATTCTGTAACTTTTTATCCATATAATACGAGTGAAGTTTTTAACGAGTATATTGCTGACCCTCTATCAGATTATTCGATACATTCGGAAGAATCTGACATACGAGTCGAGGACAGTGATAGCGATTTGGGTCCAAGAAGAATATCAAGAGCTGTTCCATTACGATATTCGAGTGATTCCGATGATTCTAGTAATAGCGAAATGTCCACAGAATGACGAATGTGCAATCAAAATATAGTATTTTAAGAAAATGTATAAGTTTTAAATATTTTCTTTAGCTACTCGTTGTTCGGAAACAAGCGAATGAGGCCGGCGCTCAGGCTTTAAGTGTCTCATTTGCCGCCTTCGCTCAATGTGTTAATATAAGTCGCACATTCAACAACATTGAATTAACCCTTGACGTTCTCGATGGAAAATATGGCTGGCATTAGATCGGCTAATACAGTTAAAAGCGTGATTAATGATCTGGTTGAAACGCCGTGCAAAAACGTCATTAGGAGGACAGCAAGAAACAGACTTTTACCTTATGTTATCCTCATCGACGAACAGAACGACACCTCTGGCATTGTGTTTTGAGCTCAGTCGTTCGACAATTTTATCGAAATCTTCGGTTTTCGCGTTTCTCAGAATCTTCTCGCTAACTGCCACGCATACACCATACTCCATTGACAAGGAGATGAAACTGGCAATACCCTAAAATAAATGAATAATGATTAATTGAATTGTGAAATCAAATAAATATTTAAAGAACAGAAGAATATTATTTCATTTGAAAATGTATTTATGAAAGAATGGAATAGTTACGTTAATGATAAAAGTTATATTAATATATAAATAATATACACAGTTAAATTAATATATAACTTTCGTTAATATTTTTATATTTGCGAGAGGAATCTTTGTTTGGATGGCGTCACCCTGCATCGGGATCCATTTTGCTTCGAGAAAAATTGATAAGCTGGATGGTTCCTCGAAGTTAGGCTGAATCATGCAATGGGTTGGTGTCACGGAACGGTATAGGAGCCCTCTTTTATTTTACACCGCCAAAAAATTTAAAAAATTTAAAATATCACTAAAAATAGAAGTATTTGTTGAATATCATTTACCCTTTTATCACAATATATGAATGTGAGATAATTCTATATTGTATTATAATTATGCTTCAACTTCATGAGTCTCTTATGAACTTTTTATCTTTACATATGTTTGTATATATTGTATTAGATAATTGAACATATACAATGAAAATATTTGATAACCTTAAGTATCGTTGAAAATATAGTAATTTTTATTTTGTTGAGTTGTAATGCGTTTTGGTGTTTAACTATTTATTAAAATAAATATTAAAATTATATTTTTCAGTTGTTAAATGCTTTTGATGTCTGCAGATGTATATAGAGATAATAGTATAGAGCAACATAGATGTCGCTCATAGGTGATAATTAATAAATCGAGTCACAGATGGATATTGTAATTTTTCTCATACATTTACAACACTTGTACGTTATTTAAAGTGCAGTATTATTTTCGAAGTCTGTATTTAATGTGTATATAGTATTTATTAAATATTTGAGACACAGTTATTCAAATACTTTCGTGAATGACTATATTCGGCCATAATATTAATTTTATAATTATTGTTTTGTACAATATATACGAAAACAGTATGCAGTATGTAAATATATGATGATAAATATCGTGTTGCTTATATAAAAATATAAATGGAAAATATAAATTAATTTTGTAAATTAAGGACAATCTTTACTTCACACACTACGATAAATTAAAAAATTTCTTTTATCATTAATATTCTTTAATTAATATTCTTATAATATTCTTTTATTTTCGTGTCAAATAAACTTCTAACACATTTCGAAATACTTCATACTGATATACAATTATATTCGAGTAATATATATAAAACGAATGTATTGTTCAAATGTACTTTTAGAATTACTATATTGTAAATCATCAAAGTATGATGTCAATATAATTTAATATCTATTAAACAAATAAATGTTACAATTAGAAAAGAAAATGATCGATGTACTTTATATCTATAACAAATAGTATATACTTTCCTAAAATACGTAACACGATATTTAAATCGTCTTTTGATATGCAATGGAATTAATAAAGGGTTAGTACTATTTTCGAATATTAATGCGACTAACTAGTATGTACAGTGAGTCACAAAATTATTCGCTCACTCTACGAACCAACCAAAAAAGAAAAAAAAAAGATGCAATCGATATATACTATGAAGAAATTTAAAGTCAATGTTTTCAAAAACAAAATTTCATGGAAATAAATTTTTATTCCTTTTTTTATTCGTTTGATTTTTTCTTTTATTAAGTAAAATCGTTACTTTCTCGTTTGTACCGCCAGGCATTTTGGAACACCCTGTACATCATTTTAATAGATATGGCAGATAATTCCACTCCATTATTCGAGAGAAACTGACCATCAGGATAATGGGAGAAAAAATGGGATAGGTGATACGCATGAAGAATGTACAGATTTAATTACCTTCTCTCCGTAATCACCTTCAACTGCGACCGTAGAAACGTACTTCCAACCGAGTTGATGAATGATTTCCACCATGGCTTGGGCTTGAAAATTGTCCGGTGGTACTACTCTGCTAAAATATTCGAAGCGACTTTTATCTGACAGCTCTGTGCTCGTCGACGCGTAGCTTATTTGTGGTATCTGCAAGAGTGAGCATTGTTCGTTATAACGTGTTACATTGTTAAAGGAAAGAGAAGATATTAATAACAATAGAAAAGAAAAAGATATTGTAGGATATTTTTTGACTTCCCCAGGTATAGAGGCCCGGTTAGCGTCTGGCGGCCAGACGAGCCTGGGGAAGTTGGGGCCAGGCCATGCGAGGTAGCCTCGCTCAACCCCGGTTTTCCCCATTGTAAACCGGGGGTGACGCATCCGTGGGCCCCTCTCAGGAAGGGCCCCCGCGTGGGTGACCCTTCGGAGAGCCTAACCCGAAGGAGGAATCCCTTCCACCTCAGAGTGTTACGTGGAGGGAGCTTTCTCCTCCTTCGGGGGAGGCTCTTGCCTTCCAGACGGGCTTAAAAGGGCCCGCTCTGGAAGATAGGGAGAGTTTTGAGATAGTCATTAGAGAGTTGAGGTAGTCCATGAGAGAGTTGAGACCGAGAGTTGTGATTGCGAGAGTTACGCGTTATTGAGAATCGAATAGAAAATACAGACTGCAGTGAATCTGAGTATTCCGAGGTACTCTCCAGCGAGTAGAGACTGTGTGACTCTACAATATTAAACTAAGAACGCTTTCCAATTACAAGTATCACTCTTTGCATGTTGCCCGATTCCGCAGAACAATGAAATGCTACGTGAAACTCGCGCGAGTTGCTCTCGAGAGTACTCTCAAGTTGTGTGTCCATTCGAGAGCAATTACTTCTACTCTCAGGTAAGCGATAGAAAACTCGCCGAGAGTTTACTCTCACGTAGAGCTCTCAGAACTGTATCCACTTGAGAGACGCTTGACAGACAGTCACCGATGAAGGGACACTATTTTATTACGGTTTCTCTTTACGACACTTGATATTATCTGCCTCTTCTTCATCGTTCAGTCACCTTTCATTCATTCACATACACATTAAATTTCCCACCTAATCTTAACACGTTAAGTGCCACTAGACTTTCCGTCCGGGCCCGGTCGGTCCTCGGGGACCAGTCCAAACTAGGTCCTAAAAGTGCTAGCGTTTGGTGTTAAATTCTTCGCCATCTTTGGACCTAACGTTTAGGAATTCCTATTATAACAATTGGTACAGCATTTCCGAGTTTATGAACACTTTGTTCGCTATCAGTGGCGATCAGTCGCTTGACGGCAGAGTCTGGGCCCGAACGGAATGGCAAGCAAAACGGGCTGGGCACTTAACCCACTTGCGCTGGAAAGACGTGTCACGCACGTCGTAATGCTTTTGTCACAGAATCGCCGACGACGTGGTATACACGTCGTTAGGCAATTGTTACAGAAACACTGGACCATTCTGACACACGCGTTTGTGAATTCCTTGTCACCGCAAGTGGTTAACCTAATATCCATTCGATCGGTTCAACCCTCGCACCGATAGTTACTTAGTTTACTCGTCGTACGTTCTGATAATCGTTTCAAGTTTCCCCGCTTCTATCCGAGAGTACTCTCAGGACTTCGATACCGTTTCGAATTCTGCTAGCAACTCTCTGAGAGCAATGGGTTATTGTGTCCACTTGCGAGCAACTCGCGACACGTCGACTCTCAGACAATTGAATGATGCTCTCCGACAGTCACTCTCAAACGCTGTTTCCACTGACGAGATACACTCTCGAGAGCAACTCGCTACAATTTTACTCTCATGTGGACACGTAGCATAATGTTTCTTACTTTTTTTATTATTTCATTGTTTCTTATTATTACTTTTTATTATTATGTTATTATTTTATTGTTTAATCATAATTATTATTTTTGTTGTTATACAATCAAGTCTCCTATAATGCGTGTCTCCTTATAACGCGTTTTTCGTACAAGAATATTTCAACAACTCAAATGGCTTAAAAAGTAATGTAAAAATGGGCTGGATTCGGCTAAAGAATTAGAACGTTACTTAACTCAAAATGATTATTTCTAAAAGAGAATTTCAAAATTGCTTGGCTTCATATAGAGAGGTTTTGGAAGAACTATAAAATAAAACTACATTTGAAAACCGAGAAGAAAATTTGCAAAGTGTGGAAGATTTTCGGACAATTAGAGAAAAAGAGTTGGACTGCAAATATTTGACAGCGATGATGAATAATAAAACAATCTAACCGTGGTATCCTCGATGTATGAACCACGTGATAAGAATGTCTGAATTCTGATCAGACTGAAGCGGTTTCATAAGAGCGTTTGGGAATAAAACATTTGTTTCAGAAATAAATATAAATAAGAAGAAATATGGAATAACATTGATGGATAAGAGAATTTATGATAGAAAAGATTTTAATAAAGGCTTTGATAGGCGTCCAAAAGATAATTATATAAAACGAAGTAATAAACCGTTTAATTTTAACACGTTAGAATCCTATTTTAAATTAGGATGCGTCACTAATATGTATCAAATTAAGTTTCTTTGTTGAAAACAATTTTTTTAGTTTATAATTTTATTATACGAACTATGTATTATATTCGATAAACCTAATACAAATATATAAAATTCTACATATTCATTGCCATTTCTATTATAAAATTTTATTTATTAACCGTATCAATCGTAACTTGATACTTTGAGAATGCAGTTTTTATATAGGTCTGATTTATGTAGAATTTATTTATTTTTGAGATTCCATATAACGCGATGCGAATTCAATTTGCATTATTTCTGAGTTTCTTATAGCGCGATTCCTATATAACGCGGCAGTGGTTTGCATATAACGCGGTATAAATTAATCCGATTTGTCTGATTGATATGTTTATCATAACGCATTTCCTGATTTCGATTAATTCTGATTTTCTTACAACACGGTTTCCATACAACGCGGTACGAATTAATCGTGTTATAGGAGACCCGACAGTATTGTATTTAATTATCTTTTAAATTGTTTTTTTTATTTTAATAATTATTATATTATATTACTTTGTCCATGTAAATCTAACTTCCTTAATTATAAGAACATAGATATTGAAAATTAGTTATCTCAAATAATTTGGCATTTAAATTATAAAATTATATATAAATTGTGATGCGTATCACTATTATTGGAGAAGTAAATTTTGATCAAATTTCCGTTACTTGCAGTAAGGTTATAGTAATAAGAAATGAGCAAAAGTATGAAACGAACAGTTCGTAACTTCTGTATAATTGCTTCAAGACCCATTAATTAAGCGAGTTCGCGTTAGTACCGAAAACAGAACAAGAAACAAACCCACAAATGATGCGCTGAATTTAAACGATCCATTCCGACAAATTGCACGTAAACTGAATTAACACTTGGCAAATTACCGTACAGAAGTTAATGCGTTTAATGTATTGAAATTGTCCTCCAGCTTTCTGTAAAAAATAGATTAAGCAACTCGTTAAGAATGACTAATTGCTATGTTTCTTTGCATGGAAATTATCGAAACGTATTTCATTCTACTTTTTATGTCTGATTTAATTCTATTTTTTATATTGTTATAATCGGTGTAATACATTTCAGTACCATTTTATAAATATAGAAAGATTAATATTTTCTTTTTTCATTTTTAATCCTTTTAAAATTTACTATTTACAATTTAAAAATGTCTCGAAAGTATAAACATTTGGGGACACTTATTAAAATTTATTTAAAAATGAAGATATCTTATTAAACGAAGACAATTTATTGTTGTATTGTATTATGTAGTGCATTTAGTTTTACTTTGAAATAGAAATTTATTTTCCATAAATTGAAACGTATAAATAATATAAATAAACAAAGAAAAAATAAATATATAAAAATCAATTGAAAACTTTTATATTAATTTTGCTCCATGAACAAGTTAGTATGTTAAAATCGAGTTTCATGCTCTTGAATTTATCAGTACGAAATAATATACAAAATTAAGGGTCTGATAAAATATACAGAATCTCTTTTTAATGTAAAAGTTTACTATAGAATGTGTTAAAATTATATCACATTATTTCAGTTTTTCCACGAAATAATAATATGGTTAAAGATTAAAATCGAATTGTAAATGATTTTTAAAATAACTATAGAACAGCTATTAAAGTTATTATATTTAATATTTTTATTTATTATATTTAATATTTAATATTTTCAATAAAATCTTCAATTGTGAATGTCAAATAATATTATTTTACGATACAGATTTTTAAATCATTATCAATGAGAATATGTTTCGCATTAACTAAATTTTCGATTAATATAAATAATTACAGTGCATTGCGATGAAAACAAAAATTAAATAAAATTATTTCCGAAATAATCTCAAAAGTTTGTATTACTATTAAATCGTAAATATCTTTCACGACAATTTTCATAGAAGTTAAACTACTTACAAATATAGGTTTTTAAGAATTATGTAATACAAGAATATCAGTCATTCAAAATAAATTTTTTTATTAATTCCTTTATTATTAACCCTTTGCACTCGACGAATTTTTGGCCAAAGAAGAGTAGGAGCTCAAAAATTTTCTGCTATAAAGCTGACAACATTTTTTTGAGCAATAAGAAGTCATGTAATAATTGACATATAGAATTACTTGATTTCGATACCTCGCACACCGTTACATTATCTTAAATTTGACATATTAATGAATATCGAGCTTCGAAATTTTATCAAACGGCGACTGAAGAGCGCCTCTCGAGTGCAAAGCGTTAAACTTAAATTTAATTATTACTTTTAAAATTATTTCTATATTAAATAAATCTTTCTATTAATTTCTTTATTAATAAATAAATAATAAAACACTGAGTTTGTGATTTTTAATATGTGCAACTACAGACAATACATCACTAAATAGCAAAAGGTGAGATCATTGATCCAGAATCTTCGATTATGTTATTATTCGATCTCAATTAGCAAAGGTAAATAAAAAAGTAAAGATTATGCAGTCGAAATGTAATTCGTTAATTAACATATTTACATTGGACGTCACGTTTCGTTTACATTAATTTGTATCATTGATTTGTGTTATCATATATAGTTTACTGAACAATGAGTTCACAGAGTTATACGAAATACAAATAAATTGAACTGCAACGCTTGGCAGCAATTATACGATGTGTGTAACATAAAAGAGAAGTATCCTGAATTTACTCAAATTCAATCTGAATTTACTCAAATTGCAAAAGTAATTAGGGGAACACGAAAAAGGACAGCTATCAGCTATCACACGAATATTTCTTTTAGTGGTACTGTCACGGGGAATTTCAACGTGGTTGAAATTAAACAACTGATGACAATGACGTATCGAGTTTGGACGTTCGTTCAACTAACAATTAGATCTCCTTGTCATTGATTCAGTTGAAACATTGTAGGTTTGTAGATTTAGTCATCCGGTTCAAGAAAATGTACCATTATAAGAGCAAATACTCGATAGTTTTCGAGATATTTATGATTTGAAATTTTGTTGGCGAAGTCGATAATAAAGATATTGACTATACCAACGTAGAAGCAACGACGCCATCAGGCGTTTCAATTGTTTCCTGGTAATAGGCGTTATGACTAGAACGTTCCTTCAGTCGAGCACGGAACACGAGAGAATACAGTTGTGTAAAGAATAAAACGTGATTATATGAAAAGGCTGCTCTGCGTCTTTTCCTTTTCACCTAATTACAATAGTTTTATTATTGCCTTAATTAAAGTTTTATTTCGAATATTTATCAAGTGCCGTTGTGGCTTAATGGCGATATACGAAAATTTCCACGCTGGTAGCAATTTTTGGATGTTGCCGTTAGGCCACAATGCCACTTGATAACTATCAATAACTATTCGAAATAAATCTGTAATTAAGGCAATAATAAAACTTTAATCGTAAATATCTCGAAAATTATTCAATAGTTGTTATAATGATATATTTTCTTGAACTAGATGACTACTTACATCTACCTAACCTGCAAAGTTTCACCTAAATCTGTGACCCTAAGGATTTGCATTCCTCTTGTAAGTTAAATTAGTTTTATGAGTTTTGTGTTCGTGTTATTCTGTTCTTATTGTTCTGTCAGTTTTTGGTGTCCCAAAACCAGTTTTCGCTATTCTACAATATTACGTGATAAGTCACGTTATTCAAAATAAAGGACGCCAAGAAAAGATTCAACAGCCTGCAAACTTGAGGATTTCCAAGATTTTCGAATATGGATCGACACATTTTTATGCAGCTTTGAAGTCAGAATCTTTTGTTATGTATGATTTTGTACGATGTAAATGCGTTCGAAATCATGCAGGTGGAAGAACTATGCGACGTAGGTTTACGGGTGCACTGAAGGGTATTCAAATGAATGGGAAGATGCAAAACAGGTCTCAGCGATTTATTCGAACATTTATCCTTCTCTACAGAACTAAAGATGTAGTTGAATACCTGACTATGATTTCCACGTGTGTGTAATGGTACAACTTTAATCTAACGACATCGAAAGAACAGATCGAATCCTAAGTGGTTGAACCTGTGGTAATGGTTAACATAGATTTTGAATATATATGTGTTGATATAATAAAGGAGCGATGTCTGTAAGAAAGGGATGAGTGGGACAAGTATGCATGGAATGACAATATCTAATGGATTCAGGTTATTGTGATAAATGAGTATGCGTGTAATGATCGAGGTGTGTGTGAATTGTGTATGTTCATGTAATGTATGAAAGTAGAAAGAACAAACCAGAGAGATTGGGCATAGATCAGTTGTAATTGAGTAGTAATAGTGAAAATAGGTGTGAACGTGTGATTGCGAGAAATTAATTAGATTTATACTTAATATTCGTGTTTGATCATTTTTGTAATTAAATAAAGAATTGTTCTTATTGTTATTGATATTTCATTCACCGTTAATAGCCTACAGCTGAGAAACGTCGATGTCAGGGGTGTATAATAAAGGACCCTTGGCTTCATCCCTTAATGGCAAGGATTAGGAAAATGTGGTTCAATCCTGTTTTCATAGTTGTTTATAGTCCCTGCTGTTAGTAGTGGATATTGTATTTATACTAATATATTAAATACTCATTTAACAATATTATCGGACAGGGTAAAAATTGTTGATGAAATATGTCTAATTATGTTCACTCTTTCACACTATATTCGTTCACACGTGTACTCTCAATGAATTCTTAATTGTAACTGACCTGTACCACTACTCTTTACGTAAATGTACACAGTCCATATCACACTTCGTTCATTACACGCATACTCGTTTCTCATAACAACCTAAATTCGCTCATATCAAATACACATTCCATGCATACTTATTCGTTATATTTAATATTTGTTAATTAAATAAAGAATTGTTCTTATTGTTATTGATATTTCATCCACCACTAACAGAATCTGAGCTTTCATATTCAAATTTCCCGCAATTAGAGATGAAAATTCAGAGTACAAAAATGGCGAAGGATCTAGCTATTATTTTAGACATGGCCTAGAATTATTTTCCATGCTTCGAGTAAACGTCTGAGTTTTTCATTTCAATGAGAACACTTTCCAAGTACTGACCTTAAATAATCGCAGAATATTGGCTACCATGATGGAGACTACGCTGAAGGAAGCTCCTATAACGCCTGTGACAGGTTTGTGGGGCACGTACATCGGTGGTTTGTCATTTTCACATTTATACTCCGATATATCCTGGAAATAAATAAAAGAAGAGTCACGTTTGTGTAATGCTTTATCTATTCTACTTGTCAATCAATTTCGCTTTTATAGATAATCCAGATTGAATGCAGCTGATGCTACAGAGAATACAGTATAGTTGATAATTATTGAAATAGTCTGTTGTTTTCCATCCGAAAATCTTTATTAATGATTTATTTATGCTAGTGTTGGGAATTATTAAAATAAATAGTCTTTTAGTAGTCTTTTAATAGTTTAGGAGCTAGAGGATTATTCAACGATTATATGAAATAATGTTATTAGTATTTTGAACTAGCATTTCAGTGGTTGAGTAATCAAGTAATGCATTTCGATTAATTTTTCAAGACGTATAATTAACTTACACGCGTGTGTACTGTAAGGGAAGGAATAAGGAGGAAATAGGGAACGGGCACGAACAGGATTTACTGTAAAGAAATGAAATAAAAGATAGTAATTATTGTTGGGTGAATCGCCTTGTATTTCCTTTTTTGAGCAGCCAGCACCATCTACCGGAATTAGTAATTAATAGAGGTACTGACTCTTCACTCTAGGGGGACGGTGTACAGGTGGAGGACAAAGAAACAAAAGAGCTCACAATCAGTGTGCTTACAATAGAAGAAGCGTACGGAATGTGTACGTGTAAAAGACTAGACTATGAATGTTTTGTTAAAGTATTATTTATAAAAAATTTATATTTTTTACATTTTTATTCATGAAAAATTTTGTCTATATCAATGTGGCACAAATCCAATAATTAATTAAATTAATAAATCATATGTATTTCTCAAAAAACTCCATTTCATTTTATTTTTCAAAATACTGAAATCTACTTATAATAATTAATGT